ACACCATCTGTCAGCCTTGCAGAGCAAAATGAAGGAAAAGCAGAAAGTGTGCAATTATCCTCTCCCTTGCTGGAGAGCCTAGAGGCCGGAGAAGTGGCTCATCTTCCCTGATACATTTCTTGAGACAGAAACGACACATTCATTTTCTCACACTGGTGACACCACACATTGCTCTCTCATCCTACTTGCTCTCCTCTTGGCAAGCAGAGATGCAGACTGCCAGGCTGGGACCTGAGTGAGAAGGCTCTGTTCCCATGGCTAGGGAGTTGAGTTTAGCAAATTGCAAGAGAACAAGACTGCAGTCTGTCCACCAGGTACCCTGCTGGCAAGACACAGGGGCTTGCTCCTGCCCCTACAGGCACCCGAGCACTGCTGGGACTGAGTGCTTTCAGTGAGACAACAACTCTTCTCTCTCCTTCTCCCCCCTGCCCTTGCACATTTTCGTAACCTCGCATAAGTTTCAGACAACGTCATCTTTAACCTACTGCAAGCAGTGCTTGGGAGCCATGTGAGGGGGACCGTACTTGATCAGCATACCAGCCCCGTGGCCAATGAGTGGTGAGCTGGACTACACTCCCCTACCAGCCACCCCAAAAGGGGTGCAGGAATGTCTCTCCCCTGGCATTGTATTTTGAAAGATGTGTCTGGCGAGACAGCTAGCTGACTTTGGCAGGCGCTACTGGCAGTGTGATAATTAATTAAAGCACAGTTGAGAAAATTATAGCACAAGCTTACTCTGCAGCCAGATCTGCAGCTCCCTAGCAGAGCAGGGCATCCTGCTCTAGCCCATATCTTTTTATTTGAAGGAGTAGGCAGCTTGCATTTTGCACAGAAAGTAAGAGCGCAGGATGAAGAGGAATGAATCCTTGTGCTAATCAGTGAGAGAGGACCTTGTTTGCAAGATAAGGCAACCTGGGAACAGAACAGCAAGTCATACCACAGCAACAGAAAGGACAAGCAAGGCGAGACAGCTAAAGGCTATTTTACACGAGGAGGATTCTCTCCTCCTGTTGCCTGTGTGGCACTGAAGACTGAAGGAGCCTCTCTGCAAAATAGAAGAGTGAGCAGGAGGAACAGGTGCCCCGTCTATTGCAGTCAGAGCTGCATCTGCTGCACAGCTCCCTATATTTCTGTGCCTTCAGCTAAGCTATTCCAGGTACCAACAACAGCGAAGTCGCATGGACTGTGTTCCTAAACAGATACCCAGGTGGTTCCTGCTCTCACCTTTCCCACTGCTGCACATTTAGGGAGATTCAGCATAACCATGACATGCAGACTCTCCTGTAACTCTCACCTGCCTGCATGCCTGCCTGTCACTGGGCTGCCCCTACCACTACGGACACGTACCTGTGCCCCACGCTCACTGCCAGTGTGGAAAGGCAGGCAATACTGTGCTACAAAAAGGGCTTCTAGATCAGTGTCGGTGTGACAGGCTTGCCACAGGTCACCCTCAAGCCCTTGGATGGCTTGATGCTATGTTGCTCCCTACTCAGAGCGTATCAAAGAGGCTTAGCCCAGGATGAGAGGACCTCCGCTGCATGTGAAGCTGTTGCTTGTAGTCATTACGGACACAGGCAGGGAAAAGTCATTTTTTATCACTGAATTGGGGTTTCATTAAAAATGCCTGGTTTTCACAAAAAGATATTTAAAAAAATATTTCATTTATATCTTTGAACAAAATTAAAGTAGGAGAAAAGGATCCCTTTTTTGTTTGTTTGTTTGAACTTATTAGCACAGAAATCACTGGAAAGCTCACTCTGACTTTTTGGATTTAGTTTCACTTTTTCTCTTCTAGGGGGGAAGAGAAAATATAAATATTTTAGGGAGAAAAAAAGACTTCTTACTTGCTTGTATTTCCTAGTCAGAAGGACAGCAGCACACATTTTTTGCTTGTTTCTAAGCAGATGCTTTTGTTGGAAGACCTCTCACTGAGCTATCAAATCTTTTATATGAATAGAATTAAAAGCAGCACAGGAATTTTCAAAGTTAGTGTTAGTCTCTCTGTCTCTCTCTCTCTTCCCTTCCTCCCCTTTGCCCTGTGTTTCAAGCTCTCTTTGGAGCATTGCTGTGGAAATGAAATTTTGAGGTTGATTCTCTTCTTGCTTGCTGTTGTGTGAGGCCAGTGAATTTGCTTGGGGTTTAGCACAGCTGCACGACACAAACCAATACTGCCCACACTGCACTGGAGACACTTGTGGGCTTGTTTTGACTTTAACCTTCCACATGGTCTCTGGTTGCAAGTACCAGCCTAGTTACGCAACTCCTGTCTTCATTCCTCCAGACTTCCCCCCACCTCATTAGAAATAATGTATTTTAGCTTTCACTCTGTTACCTTCCACCCACTTTGGAATCCCCAAGTCCTATAAATCAGGCTCAATTTTACAGATGGAGCTTTGCTTTCCCCTATAGGATTATGTATTTTACAGAGGAAGCAAAACTCAAAACCAGTTAATGATTGCACTGAAGCATATTGACTTGATGCCACAAAGCTTCTTCTCCATCTAATCATGATTATCTGCAAGAGAAAGAAAGTTTTTAAATGTTGGAAAATGTGCTGCGTCAGACTGGTGCAAATGCACATAGTTCAGTGTTCAGGGACACATTCTGCCTTCATGAAGTCCCATCTATTTCAGATTATTTTGCAGCTAGGTTCACAATAGACTTAGGTGACTTGTTGAAGATTCGAGAAACCAGAATTATCGCCCCCACACCTGTCTTTCATCACTTGTAAGTTTTCTTTCAATGTTTTGTTTTAAATTTTCCTTCTTTGTTTTAGGTGGAGGCTTTGCATATTTCAGATTACGTCCTAAAATGAGGCATGAGCACGAGAAGGCACAAAAAATTGTGCAAATGAGTATCTTCAGTGGAACAAACTAGATTTTATTCTGAGTAGTTTGTAAATCTGCGGCCTGCCTTTGCTGTTGATAGGTTGCATGATCTCTATTGGGAATGAACTGAAAGTCTGGTAATAGCCTGTGGATTAGCACAGGTTAGTGAGTGCCAGCAGGCCATTCAGGGCTGCCCTGCCAAGCATTGCCACTGCACTTTTCTACCTGCTTAATCTGAATCTTATAAGCAGTTATAACTACACTATCTGTCTTCCCACAGGCATATTGTAAATTTTTGCTGCAGTAGCCATGGATGCAGCTGTGCAGAACAGGAGTCTTCATGCTCTGTTTTGCTCTAACTGGGTTGGTAGCATCACCTGCGATGAAAGTGGCCTGACAGTCTCTGTTACAGCCACTTGCTTTAATGTTTGCCAAATGTTGCCTGCAGGGACTGGAATTTTCTAGGAAGTATGTCTGAATTTACAGTCAGGCTGATTTCTAGGGGCAAATTACACCACAGAGTTTCAGCTAAATTAGATCAAGAGAAAATGCATTGTTTAGCCCACAGTTAGGAACAACAAAAAAAAGACATGAGAAAATTCTTGCTATTGTTTTGATGGGAGGGTCTCAGACACCAGTCAGAGGATATGCTCGGTATTTAGCAAGCTGCAGCACAAACCATATTTTTCCCTGCTCACACCACCACCATCCTCTGGTGAGGAAGGCTGGTATCTCTCCTTAACGGCAGCCTCCTCACCTCCTATCCACTGCCTCTGACTCCCACCATCTCCTACTGCCTCACCCACTGCTTTAGCCCCACTCCCTGACTGTGCCACCCTGGTTGTCTTAGCTGGAAAGAAAGTCTCAACATGATCAGTTTGCACCATCATTAAATTCTTCCGATGCCATTTGGATATAAATTGGGGCTGATGGTGGAGGAAGTTCAAGTTGTGTCCTGTGGGACATGTATTCCCACTTAAAAGATCTTACTGACCTTTTAATGGAATCTAATGTTGCAAAGGTGACCCAGGTCCGCTACACTGGAGCAACCTCTTACTGAATAACCTCACTAATGTGAACCAGGTATATTTTAGTCTCCTGAAGTGCCTGGTCTGAGAAGACTCGGTTACGTTCAGAGTGAATCCCATTTGCTTCACATTGCAAAATCCAGGGAATCCTCATTCCCTCTAAGTACCATAAGCTTCTTTATGAAGTTTGGTCTTTGACAACACACTACACAGTGAAATGAAACCTTGTCTTTTTATTAATGTAATATTTCTCTATTGCATGTCCTTACATAATTGATCTTTCACCCATTGGCCTCCAATGCAAAGCTGCTTGCAATCCGTATTGCTGAGAGGAGCGCAGAGAGGTGTGAAAAGCTCAGAGAGGCAACTTGGTGTTTCTCCAGAGTCCAGATGCAACCTCCAGTGAATTAATTTATGCTCCAAACTTGTATCCCCTTGAGTGCTGGCAAAACGGTTTCAGCAAAGGTTTTTCAAGGGAACAGCAGAAGGCCCCTTGGAGACACTGAACTGAAAACGCAGTTAGAGTTGGTTCCCGGTGCAAAAGCATGGACGAGACGGAAGATCTGGGGCACAGCGGAGTTCGGTCGCCAAGGGCAGGGAGGACCAAGGCGGCAGCGGCGGGGCCGCACCCTGGCTGCGCGGGCAGGGCTGGCGAGGCACAGCGCGGCGTGGAGAAGGCAGCGCTGGGGCCGGTGCGGGCGGGCAGAGGCAGCCAGGTCCGAGGGCTCAGAGCC